ACAATATAATTACTGTAATCATTTATCTTAAAGACAAACTATCTTACCACATGCAGAGCTTAAAGCAATTTACCACTTTTGCTATAGTAAACTGCTAAACTGGGACATTTGCTCAAATGAATGATCAGTTCATACTAGAGGTCTTTGTTAGTAGTACTGGACAGTATTTTTTGACAATATTCTCTTGAAATTTTTTCCATATAAGTGGTTTCTCCTCTTGTAGCTCTGGAAACTTTTTTGTATGTTTCAAAGCAAATTGCATTTCTGGTAGAAAGAACCTCTGTAGCCATCTGTTAGCAGGACTAGAAAATGCATCTAAATCTATAGTATATGGCAGACTCACTGCATGGTAGCAAAGTATACAAGTAAGCATAAGGTGGTAGCGGACAAGCACATCCTTACCCTCTGTTACTTGGGTTGTCTTTCGTACAATAAATAGAGGCTAAGAAGTACTTTAAAAAGAAAACATATCAGTATTGTCTTACTGCATCATGACTGAACTGCAAACTAATTTCATACACCTCTGCTTAGGTTAACTAACAATTTTACAATAATATTTCAATCCACTTATTTTTATTAAAATCAAATAAAACAATGGAAACAAATACTGTGGGGGTAAGACACCCTAACATCCCTTGGGGTGTGTGTTCGGTTAAGATACAGCCTGTTGTGCCTTAATATGATTTCTACTGTACTACCTTAAAATGACTTCTACTGCACAGCACAGTGGAGTTGGCATGATAATAGCTCATAGTATTCCACAAGGGCACTCCCTCTGGTAAGGGGGAAAATCCAACATTAGAAATTACGTTTGGTCTGGATATTTGTGAATGTCTAAAATAGGATTGGGATAAACAAATACCCAGGCAACGCTGGGTTAACAGCTTGTAATAATATAGAGTAGATTAGAACCCTTAATACTACCTATGCCACTTCAGCATTCCTTACTATTGATAAGGACACATTATCCTGTCAGTTTAGCCAGATTTTGGTAACCAATACCCAATTTTGTCTTATGTTCTCATCCTATTCTATGCAAGAGAGGATATTTAAAGACTACATTGCCAGTCACCCATTTAGGAGGTTCAGGAATGGGTTGAAATGAAGGGGAAGACATAGAAAATTATAGCTGAATAGTGTTGATAGAGAAGAATGATAAATTTAAAGGGAGAAAGACATTATGAACTGGTCATAGAAATGGTAGACATAAGCATGGCTGGCAAGAATAGAAGGTAGAGAGGCATGGTGAAGATGTAAATTAGTTTTAAATTTCCATTTCCTATCTCTTATCCTCTGCTTTCATTCATATGCTTAATGTTCATTATTTCTGCACTTTACAGATAGATAGTTCTTGACTTACAACCACAACTGAGCTCAACATTTCTGTTGCTGAGTGAGACAGTTGTTAAGTGAGTTTTGCCCCATTTCACAGCCTTTCTTGCCACAATTGTTCAGTGAATCATTGCAGTTGTTATGTTAGTAACACTGATGTTAAGTGAATCCGGCTTCCCTATAGATTTAATTTGCCAGAAGGTCACAAAAGGTGATCACATGACCCTGGCACACTGCTATCGTCATAAATACATGCCAGTTGCCAAGCACCCAAACTTTGATTATGTGATCATTTTTTCACTCCTGTGTAACTTCACTAAGTGAACTAAGTTACTAAATGAATGGTTCTAAGTGAAGGTCTACCTGTAATTTAGCTTACTCTTAAAGGCAACAATCTGATGGGTATCTACACATATAAAATTTTGATCCATCAAAGTTTATTACATACTGGAAAGAAATATTCATGAGAAATAATTCCCTCTTGAAAGACTCGTTTGTACTAATCGTTTAAAATAGTGATACAGCTTTTAGGTTTATCAGATTACCTTTTACCAATTTATTATACTACTAGCACATTTTAAAGGGAGTGCTGGGAAACTTAAATTAGAAACCACAAATGTTTAGGTACTATATTTAAATGAGATTTCCCGCAATCTGCCCAATCTGTTCTGATTTTGCAAAGCCACCTGGAGTCACTGAAAGTAAATTGGGAGCCATGTAAATTTTCTTAAACAAATAAATAAAAATACAAGCAGAACAACTAGCACCTTATCTTGTCCTTAATGACAAATTATATTTAGTGATAGTACAAAAATAATATAGAAACTGTTATCTTTAATATTTTTAGCTATAATGAAAGTAATCTATTAAAATTTTTCCTTTTTACAGTGCCTTGTTTTAATAAATCTATCCCTTAGACTTTCAGAGTGAAATCATAATTTCTCAATTATATACCATAAATTAAAAAATATACAAAAAAACCCAAATGTTTTAGGTGATGTGTTTTTCTTGGAATAAGAATCATCAGAATATTAGTTTGGTCA